ATATATATATATATATATATATATATATATATATATATATATATATATATATATATATATATTTAAACTTACAAATTTGAACTTATTTTCCGAAAAATTTTCACCATGAAATTTTGTAAATGGCTTACCTGACTTTAAAGAACGGGAAAACAACGAATTTCTGATTTGTGAACGCTTCTTTTAATCCTTTTAATTCACTCCTTTTAGAACTGCTAGGCAGTTGCCACAAAAATATTTAGCTACAGCCTAACTGGAAGACATTGAAGTGGAACTTTTGAAGTCGTTTATTTAAATACATTTTGTGTTATATAGATTGCAGCGTGGTTTTTGGAAGAATAAACATTTTTATTGAACGAACATTACTGTAAAATTTTCATAAAGATTATCTCACTGTTGGTACATGTGTTGGTTAAGAATTCAAATTTTTTTATGTTAGGAAGTTACTGCATCCATATAAGTCAGAATTTTAGAATTTTAAAACCACGTAATCCAGTTGTTGGAATATTTCTTCAGTTGTTGACCTACCAATCTCTTCAGATAATAGTCAGATTTCTCTGTTCTATTGATGGGCAAAAATTTTTTTTACAATTTCTACCCATATTTTTGTCCAGACAAATCTTAAATTCTAAAGTTAAATTTCTTGGTCGTCCAATATCAATAAAAAAAGACATGCTTATAATATATGGCATTGTGGTGGTCAAGACCAACAGTTAAATGTTTTATGCTATATTCAGTGAAAACTTTGGCTGGTTTCTCAGGAGCCAAAAAAACAACGAAATATGTTTTGCTAGCATCCATGACAAGACCCTCGTAATATCTGCAAAAGGACATTAAAGTTTGTTTCCTTATTTTTCCACCCACGAATCTTTATATCTTATCATCTTTGAATGGTAAATTAACAATTAGTGTGGAAATTTAAGTATTTTTTAGATTATTTCTTCTTTTGAACGTTGCTTCTATGAAGCTTTTTTTTATGGGCATTGAATAAAGTGAATAAGAGAAGAGAAGACAAAATTTTCATTATGATCTTTTGTAATTGCTGACTTCAGAAATAAATTGTTCATATCTAATTTGAAACGAAGATAAAAGGGTCGACCATATATGATTTCCAGAAATATAAATTGGTGTACTGTTAATATGCTGGTGAACATCTGAAAAGCGTATAAGGAATCCTCACTTGATCTTATCTCACTAACTTTTCAGTAATGATCGCTCAGCTTTAGATTTCTTACTAAAGAGATGTTGTAGTTCGAAATGAAATTGATAAGGATCTGAAACCTTTGACAATAGGCCTGAGTGAATTAATTATGGCGTATTTTAGCTTCTAATAGCAAGAGATCGAGGCTAAGAATAGGACCTTTCTTAATGTACAAAATTGCTTGGAATACAATGAATTGAAAAAAAAAGAAATCAATATTTACTTTAATATCGATCCTTATTTATATGATTTTCAATCACATTTATATTTATAAAAAGTGGATTGGTTTTATATATTACCCTTTGTTTTATATATATAAGGTTTAGATATAAGGTTTATATATCCGAACATACTACATATTGCATGATAGCACTTTATAGCATCGAATACACATTTTGTGAAAGTACCACTGATACCCTCATATCCAGACTTTAAATTAACAGATGTCATGACCAAATCAAAATCTTAGATTTATAATATGCCTTGATTTTCTGTGTTTACCAATGTTTCAAAAAATTGTTCAGAGAGATACCATTAAAACAACTGAAACGATAGGCTGAAATCTTGATTCATTTTCGATATGGTATATTTAGTAATTTTTATATGACTTCAAAAAACAATAAACACTTTCAGTGATCCTTTATCTATAAAAGATTTGATACAGTTCTGAAATTAAAGAGATGAGCACATAGGTGTTCACTTTATTATTTCTCATGCTGTCAGAGATTAAATCGAAATGAAAGAGCAGTGTTTGAAATTGGCTTCTCTTGGTGAGGTAACGTAGAGAATAAATCCTCATTGTTCCGTTTTTGTAATAACTTTACTGTTAGCGTTTAAAAGTCCCTTAATATTCATTGTATTTCATTTCTTTACTGGATATTGTTTCAGCTCCAAAGATAGCTTAATATTAAGCTGTTCCAAAAACTATTGTCACTTCACTCACTTTTCGTTTTTCCTTGTTTCAAGCATACAAAATTTTGGTACAGTAGTGATCAAAGAATTCATATTTTCTTGCACCGAAATAATGAATGCGTCATTTTCACGTCACAGCTCATGCATTTCCTAACATCAGAAATCAACATATGAGAAGTCAGTAAGCGATTTTGCAGAATTCTTACTGTTTTGATTAGTCACAGTGATGGGTCACATTAATCATCACCCTACGAATATCATTTCTGTTATCTTAACCTAGCTAACTCGATGTCTTCAATGCCAATATGTTTTAGATTAATATGTTTTGATGACAACAAAATTATTGGAACTTACTGTGGCAACTAGACCAGTAATAATGCCGGGAAATAGGACGTTGCTGCAAAAATCATATTTTCTAGGCAATCCTGATGGTAAGCAAAAAAAAAATGCTATATTTGTCAAAAGCTTATTTACACTGTTTTTCTTGTTCACTTTTTAGAGACTTCTTCCCTTCCAACTTTTGAACACAAATAAATTAAATCCAAGGACATACAAATATTATATCAAATGTTACCCTGTTTATTCTATAAACTCTCAGTTCCTTGGTGTATTCATTCCTTTGTTTGGACTAAGAAAATTAAAAATGAATATACTAGTAGGCCCCTTACTGAATCTTCCTACCGTTGCTCTTCCCAACTGTTTATTCGAAAGTATTTAGGTGTTATAACTGTTAAATCCTAGTGATGTAGATTGGTGACATTGCAATAGCTTCGTAATTGATATAGCAACATGCGTCGACCCGGTGCATAAGAATTTCCTAGACCAAACTGTTGGGGATGATCCAACACAAATTTGAACGTTACTTAAAATGTACCGAAGGTAAACAGCATTGATACTGGTATCTTAATTCCTACGCATAAAAAAGAACGAGGATACAGATAATACATCGACACTGTTTGTCTGGAAAAGCACAGTGGAAATTTCATCTACGTCAATCAACAGCAGTCTGTTCATCGTTCTTCTCTCCATTACCTTAGGCACTCGGCAAATTTTCAAAACCTGCTATTACTGAAAAAAAATCCATTGAGCAGCATAGCCCCATGTTAAGACCGCTATGTTACCAGTCTGGTCTCCGAACAATACTGACGATAGAGACGGGTTATAAACCAAAGGCTACTTAAAATTTCACTGCATTTTGATAAATATCACTAATTTACACGAACTGCTAAAACAGCCTACAGAAGTTCATTATTATGATATACTCTAGAGTAATTCACTGAGCAGCACAGTTCTATGTCAAGACCAGTTTTAAACTGTTTCAGTGCTTAAATATTGATGCGAAGGATAAATGATATATAACTCGGTTAAGCAGGTTATGCATGCAAATAAGGGTAAACTCTAGAGTACGAATGATAAACGAATATTTCCTGACACAAAAATGAACTGTCAAATAGAACAACGCAAGGAGATATGGTACCCCGAATGAAAACATTGTCATAACTAAAACTGCACTTGTTTCCTCATACAATCCGTAATTGACCCTATAAAGACTGTTTAAAACTACCATAAAACCGCTCAATAATAGCAAAAATGGCAACTTTGACGCAAAGCTTCAGCTCCATACTACATGAGCATGGCATGCGTGCTGCTTCGGTAATAAATAAAGAAGTGAAAACCACCGAAAAAATAATATGCAACTTGCAAAAATTAATAAAAAGTACATTCCTAAAAAGTACATTCCCTCGCATATCTTTTCATCGACTCACCAGTTACGAGAATTTAATCAGAGAAGTAGACGACAAGCTGAAGTACGCAGGTAATCTTTTTTAAAGGAAATAACGCGCACATTACTTGTTGCCCTCAACAACTTATTGCCATTATAATGTAACACGAATTAATTCTCGAAAGTAAACAATCCTTTAACTGCAAAAAATGCTAAACGACTTTATGCAAGCCCCAAGTTCATGAAAGAAGTCAACGGTGATCGAGTGATAAATGACAACTAGAGGAGAGAATTCTGAACCTAGAAAACAATATCAAAACGAATACCTTCTGGGAAATACGAAATTCGAACATGAGACCAGTTAACAGGTCATGGGCTCATGATTTAATGACGAGCCGTCGTAAACAAAACACCAAGCGATGGGAAATACGAAAATGGTTTTTCAATAAAAATTATAAAGCAAAAGTTTATGTACCACTGAGAAATCTTACAGAAGTCTACATCAAAAACAGGCTGAAATACGTAGAAATCGGTAGGACAAAGAGTATTTATTACAATACAAAATGTTGCAGAAATGTTGTACGAAGTTGTACATGTTATGATGGCAAACTGTGAAATGTTTGTAAAAAATCTTCGTAATACAAACGAGCTCTGCACATTAGTATGTGATCCTAATTCCACGAAATATTTTTCTGTGCTTTATTCTGTTCCCTAGGTTCGCCACCCATACTGAACTGACCAAAATCTGCCATTAGATGATTCAGGGCTGGGCTTCTCGTTTCCTGTAAACGGAATTTTCAGTAACAGATTTTGGTAATTTTATATAACAGATAAAGATGAAAACCAGGGAAAAAAAAGCAGCAAACGTTAAATGATTTACAATATTTATACATCTATATGTTAATTTAATATTCATTGCAATTACGATCTATGCGCAACAAATTCTTGTCATGTTTTATAACTTTTCAGTAATAGACATCAGTTTAGCAGTTTGCAATACATTAATCAAAAAATGCTAAGGATAGAATTAAGTGGTAAGTGTAAGATGTTTTAGAAAACGAACACATCAAACAGAAACAGTGAAGTGAAATGAGAAACCTGAAAGCGCAGCACGATAGATTTTGATTCGTTGGTTTTTGTTTCCTATAGCTTCCATTCCACAACCTGTCCCTTGAACAGCGGTATACATTCACGCATCTCTTAGTGAACACATTTTCAGTCCTCAGATCCTAGTACTTGCTCTTACCTTACTCTTATAGAAAACGTACAAGGAATTGTCTATTCTGCACATTATAACTTCTAACTAATACTTGATCAGCCTTCACTTAGCTAATATTTAATATGATGCAACTGCTATCATACCCCCAACTAAACAGTTATCAATTATGGGAGATGGGAGATGTCCACAGCAATGCTACACATAGCTATTTCGATTACTATAAAGAAGTAGTAGTTATGAAAGTGTGGATTTCTGCATATAATTCTTTATCCTTCCAGCCATCTTTTGATAGTCCGTACTTGAGACATTCCCTATCACTTTATCCTAATATGATCTTATTAAACCATTCACCCCAGTACAAAACATATTCCAGATATTGAACTTCTGGATTCATATAAAGTTTAATTTCAAATCTGTTTCCGTCGCCTTAAGGAGTAAGCCATTCTTGTATTTTCCTTTTAACTAGTCCCCTTCTTTATGTTATAAACCTAAATAGTGTGTATTTTGAACACAGTACTCTGAAGCATACTTATAAGTACAAAAATTATTTTCATAGTAGACAGTAGTTTCCTGAGAATACCGGTATGATGACCACACACGAAAACATTCCACAAACACACTCGTTTCAAAACAAAGTTCTCTGCTGTTCTGTACATGCGACAAAACAAAAGTAAACACAGTTGAAAATATTTTGGCCAACGCCGCCCTGATACCCACTACATATTGGAGTGACTAATTATACATTGATCAGTTGTAAGATTTTAACATGAAACATAACCATTTAGGTTAACTGATTTATAAATTATACATTGATCAGTTGTAAGATTTTAACAGGAAATATAACCATTTAGGTTAATTGATTTATAGAAGAATATTTTCGAGACGTACAAACGACTCAACTAATAATGGTATACACATTGTTTGCAAATCTAACAATCATCAATATTGGTTTCACATGCTCATATAACAAACGATTTCTTTTGCTTTCATGCTCGATTTACATTTGCTCAAAATATCTTACTGACAGCTAAAGCTAAAGAGCCGAAATTTGAATTTATGAGAATTTGTGGCACATAGATAAGTCATTACAAAGATGACTTAATATTAAAAAATTATCAATAAAAGCCACCAATGACACTGAACAGTACCGATGGCTTTTTTTGGCTATCTTTTCAAGAAATAAATGAACACTTCAAAAAATATTTAAGAACAACCTCTGCAGTGCCATAGGAAATAAATTTACTTCCACTATCATCCGATTTTAGCTGGATGTTACTTGGTGCTGTATTGTGGTTAGTGCTGAATCCAACCTTAAGATAATTAGTTGCTGACAAGAATCTACACATACAACGTTATATAGAACGAATCACAAATACTATTAAAGTATTTCAACTTTCTCAAAAATTTAGTAATTAAAAGAGTAGGTATTCTTCACCAGAAAATGTAGGTCAAAAAGAAGGTTCCTTCTACAAAAACTTTCTTTCACGAAACCGATAATTGTGAAAGTAAAAAATATACAACATTAAGTGAAATAAGACAAATTAATCCGGCACTAACAGAAAATTTTCTGGGTGGTGTGTCCATATGTCCCGAACTAGCCGTCTGAGAGCTTGATAAAACTCCATGTTCTGTTGCCACTGGAATATTAGCGAAAGGTGAAGCAGCGGCGAACATTGCCGCTGTCTCACGATTTAGGAAAAAATTTCCCGCTGGTAAAGTATTTCTTTCTGGTCCAAATATGGCAAACTGTGTATCTGAGATATTTCACAATGTATTCCCTTTTGGGGTCAAATTCGGATAAAAATTTGACTGATATATTTTCAAGTGATGGAAAGATGTGAAATGCAACTCCATAATTATGAACAAAAGTTAATAATGAACTGTTTTCTTCAGATTTAATCATAAACTTACAACCGTTTTGAGATCCACAAGACTGCTGAGTAAGAGGACCAACGGATGGGCCGAAAAATGACCCAACATTGGACGTGTCAAAAAAATGTGTGTTTTTTGGTTTACCAGACTTGTCATCACCGGATGAAACCTGACGTAAGAAAATTACACCTTCAAACTTGTAGACATAAACTGACTCATCCTATTAGGAGTTCATTCCTTGCCATGATATTTTATATAGATATGAAAACTATTTCCAGCTTTTTTTGTCGAGTCATTAATAAAGAAGCAAAAGCAAAGTTTTATGAGAAATTTCTTTTCAAGCCGAAAGACTTCGAATAAAAAGAAAAAAAAGAGAAAGAACGAAATAATCAGTATAAAAAGATCAAAAGCTCGTAGATCCTTTGCAATCATATTATGTCGATGGTTCAAAAAAAAAAAAAAAATACTATGAAACTGAACGAAAAACCTCAGAACATTGCTGCATTCGACGCTGATGCTTTGTTGACCGAGGATAAAATTTAGATGCAGTTCCATACAAGGCAAGGATATCCGAAGTGCTCTTTTTCTCTGAAAAAAAAAGGAAATTTCAAAAGACTTCTTTACCCATCACAAACAAAATAAAAACTGCTAGAATGTTGTACTATTCTGAAAATTACCATTCACTACGGGACTAGATCTTAACACCGATGCTAAGTCTTCTAAATTGTTTTCCGAACCACCAGTCATGAGACTGCTTTTAACATTTGAAGAAGACGCTATAGCATCTGTGGCAAAAATATCAGATCGCAATTTCGCGGGCGGAGCAGAAACAATTGGACCGAAATCTTCCATTTCATTGCTCTCGTTGAGCATGATGCTATCATTTAGATCCACTGTATTTTTATCCATCACAGCAAAAGGCTATAAAAGTGTGCTTTCAGAATAGAAAACGTTATGTAAAATAAATAAGCAAATAAATACTTTTATATCGAGAAAGTAAGAGTTAATTTACATAATAAAAACTACTGATTTACCAAATTAGGTGGAAGTTCACTGCGACAGACTTCGACTATAGGAGTGCTTAGGTCTAGGAGCGGTACATCTGTAACTGTGTCGCTCTTTATATCAGTAGCAGCATTTGCCACATTGGAATTGTTAGCCATACTTCTTGCCTTTAGCGCTGAATCCGAGAAGTGATTTCTTTCTCTAACATTTGAGCGTGCACCTAAAATAACAGTGATTTACACTTGTGTTTTAGTACTTGCAAAATCCATTTCATAACATTCGTGAATAATGAAGTTGAAGCTGAGTTGACTTAATGAAAGAGAGTTGTGAACTATGTAGATCAAAATGACTTTGTTGAACACTTCACTTTAATAATATTCTCAAGAAATAAGAAAAAAGGAAAAAGAGAAATTGGTCGCGGTATCTGCAAAAGCTAACACTTTACTCGCAATCAAGCGATTTGATGGATTTTATGAAAAGACAAGAATTAAATTTAAAAAGCACACTCACTGTGAACAGGAATTTGTCTCTTGTCCAGAGGAAGTGGCAAGTCGTTCACATCCAGCGGAGGTGGCGACCAATCCTTCAGGATATATCTGGAATGATATGATGTGACATGACATGCAAAAAAAAAGAATTAAATAACTTTTTGTAATTCAAACAAAACCGCTGTTTCACTATTTGAAAAGTGAGAAACCGCAAAAATTACCACCTCTTTTGTTCATATTTTGCTCTGATGAATGATTCGAGAGCAGAATCTGTTTGTGGTCTACGAAAGTGCTCAGGAAGTTCTGCTTCATAAACACGGCGTGCCATTTTATTGCCCATGACCCGCATACTTTGTACCTGCTCTGGGGTCCATGAATCCAAATTGACCGACTTCACCTGCATTTTGTCACATCGCAAAGTAGTTAAAACTGAAGATACCAAATAATCATATTCTCATGGTTCTAAAAAAAATCGAAAAGTACTATAGAACTGAGGGCATACTAATTCCCTTAAAGACCGAAGGCGATACCTTGGTGAGATGAACACCGAGATTACGATGGATCCCGGCACATCGTATGCAAAGAAATACTCCTAGATTCCAGGATGCCCATCGAGGTTGTTTCGCTTCGCAATCAGCACAATATTTGTTCTCCTCTTCTCGTAAAAGATCGACCACTATCGCTGTAAAACACTCATTTTTACCAAATTTCAGTACATTTCGTATTTTTTAGTTTTATATTGTACGGACGATTTGAATGTGTGTTTGCAGAAAACTGTAATGTATATTTGTAATGTATATTTGCAAAAATATGTGAAAACGCTTGCACATGAAATATTAAATATTGCAATACCCTGCAAACGTTCAGACTCTGTTCTTTTTGCATCGATTCGGCTTTTCAGTGGCATACTGTGACGCTTTAACGAGTAGCAGACAGATGAACTGTTATATTCCAATGCTGAAAACGTATTTTTCTAGATGGAAAAAGTTCGTAGTTATACTATGCGGTTCAGATCTGATGATGACAATCTGAACTTACTGATACCGACCAGGCGACAGCAACCACACTTGTCGGTAACTATAAAGAACAATAAGATAAACCACACGTACGAACCTCAACTTTCCCCGTACAATTCTACGCCAGACTTACGCCATAACGAAGCATTCCAGCAACTGATTAATCCTGCCACGTCCTCAGTCTGACAAAGCGAGGCAGTATGAATAAATGAGAGTGTAAGCAGACATGAGATGTCACGAAAAGATATTGTATTTGGAAGAGAACAGTATGAGATGTGAAAATTTCTGCTAGATAGCTGTGGAGAGCAAACTACTGATGTTGCTGGAGAAGTTGGCGGCAGGTCTGACTTTAGGGGTAGGTTGGCAGGGATTGATCTCATTCCTGACACGTTGTCTTTCCAGTTTTCCATAGTTCTTTACCATCTTCAGATTATCTCAGGAAATGGAGACAGCATGAGGAATGAGGCTTGAGTTTTTTCTTTTTTTTTTTTATTTAATAATTTTTTGATAATTTTGGAGTTTCTGAATTATTCTTTTGTGTTAGACTGCTCAGCATTTGCTTAGACGGAATATGTAAAATGAGATGCATATATGTATGAAATGATTAGAGGATGATAACGATAGCTCCACTGGATGGATTCAAAGGAGGAGGAAGAGAGGGAAGATATTACGCAGAAATCACATTGTCATCTCATCCTCACATCGAAGCTTCTGTTATGCGTGCTATCACGGATACAGTGATTGAATGGAGGCGACATCTGTTAGGTGGCCGATGTTCACCTCTTGATTCGAGTTCTGTTGCTGCACGAAATCTTATAACGATTTTCGATTTTCTTCTTTCTTATGGGTATGCCTATATGTATTATGTGGCATATTCTTTCGCAGCTTAGGACTGCGTAATTCATGTTCTTCAAAAAATTGATAGTATTGGTTAGTTAAAGTTACTGAGATTTTTCTCTTATTATTGTGAAAGCAGTTTCCTGCAACTACGATCCATCTGTTATTTGCTTAGGTTTAACGGTGGTAACCGATTATATTGGATATTTGTGAAAGAGTTCATGTCGCGCAACGAAATCCAATATCTGAAACGGGAATGGCGTATCACTTCAGCGCGACAACTGTCGGTTGCATGGCTCAAGGATGTTCTCAATAAACAAACATTACTATATCACTTTCAGGTTCCTCAGTATATATTCTTTTTACATTTGATTATTTTTTATCCCTTGAAAAAAATTCACAGAGGCAACTATAAAATCATTTCTTTTACGGACGATTGATTTACTTAAGCTAGCTTACACACAACACTTTTTTGAAATCAAAACTTTTTGGGACTTTTTGGGCTTCCTGTTTTTAATATTGCCTGGTCCTTTCCAGTCCTGTACAACGATAAGGGATCGAGATCGGGGTGAGTGGTGCAATAGTCTTACGTAGGTTTTTTTCACATTGTGAGTCGACGAATGGTTTTTTTTTCTATTGTTTTCATTGTAATCCTCCATTATGTCTCGCTTTAAATGCTTTTAAAGAGATTACATTTCAGTCTTTCCAACAAGATTTAGAAACTGTTCGAAAGTTCTACCGCAAGGAAGCTGTAATGGCAAATCAACTTTTCCTTTCCCGCATTGTGCAGAAAATGATGGATTTTTCTGAAGTGCAGTTCAAATTTCTGGTCTGTTTTGCTCGTTTCAGATATTTCTGTCAAGAAAAGCTTATAATTTAATCATCTCTTTGCATTTATCAAGTGGTGGAAACCAATAGTCTTGCAATAGAAATTTAATCTTTACCCGTGTTTTATGTCACTGGAAAATTTTGGTTAGCATTTTCACATTTTCCCACAAATATTTAGTTCTGCATGTTAGTTATGCTCAAAAAAATAATGCAACTGTCATTTGCTGATCAGTGATGCTTATAATATTTTTATAACGAAATCTTCTATTTTACTCTCGCTTTGGAAAGCAGAACTTACTATTAATATGTTGTAGTTCGGACTTGCTTTTTTGCTTATCTTTCAGAAACCTTTTGAAAAACATAGCGATATTCCAATAGCAGTAATGCGATTGTCATTTGGTGATCAGCGACCTTCGACATCAACTGACTGTTTGGCTGTTTTATGCAAACATTCACGTGAAGAACAGACCTACCCAGCAATTCGCCAAAGATCTCGAGCAGAATTCTCAACACATTCTCAAGATGTCTCGTCATTATTGTTTGATATACCACTACCAGCGGATTTTGTGGAAACTCATCCCACATCATTTGATGAAGATGTCACTGCACCAGAAAACGATTCGGTAATGCGTAGTGCTTTATTAAAGGTTATTATAATCTGATAAAAATTACTTCATGCTGTTATATCACGTTGCTCTAGGAATCTGCCAAAGGCGTTCTTTTCTAAGTGTTTTTGGAATACAAAGACGATAATTTACATATAAATAGAAATGTTTAGGATCAAATTTTCGGTGAATTGCTGAGACGTAGAAAGAGTGATTCAACAGATGTTGTCCATGGTTGTCTTCCAAAAGAAGATGCAGTGAAAAATACTGTGAATGAAGAGGGACATACCGTTAGTTATGAACAGAAGAAGTTGGATGTAATTTTTTCGTAGATATTTTTTGCGTTTCTGGGGGTGGTCTCTTTGCATATTTTCATATGATACTTCGTGCCTCTTTGAAAATTTTTCGAACCAAGAAAGTTACCCATTTCCATCAACATAAGTTTTTAAAATTCTATATACTTTTTTAACATATGTGAATGTGTTTCAAAGAAAGCCCATGTACTTCATTGAAGTCATGTCATGCACACATGTTCTTTTAAGTTCTGAAAGAAATCCAGGACTTTATTCAAAGAATTATAAAACCTCACAAATCATATTAGTAATAAAATGGAGCTTCTTATTCTCCCGCACTTTGATTATATCCATTTCAAATTCACGCACTGCGTGGTTTTTTAGTAATTATTACTGTGAAACCAGAACCACCTGGAAATCTGGCGCAGTGCGTCCTCTGTCACTGATTCAACTGGACGCCGGACACGTCAACAGCCTTCAAAGAAGGCTCATGACACTAGTAGCTTAACCATTTATTTAAACTCGCAACTAGTGATGTTCATGTCAGAGCTTATATGACTTTCTTAATGTCTTAATGACCATTTTGCGTGTTACCTGTCACATTAAATATAAAGCTTTTCTGCTTTGTACAGTTAACCAACTTTTCCGAAAGATATATCATGAGATCAAACGTTTTAGTAATGCTTGATTTATAATATCGTAGATTTACCGCTATATTACAGTGTAAGTTTAGGTCACTAGTGTTGCTGTTTCGATGGATCCTTTCGATATAGCTTTGAAAACAAGCTTATCAAAAGCAAAATTGTCCACAGAGGATGTTCATTATAATGAATGTGAACACAGAGCATCACCGATAACAACGTTAGTCGATCTTCCATGTGGTGAAATAAGGTATACTTCATTTTTCTATTGTACACTAAAAGCCGTCAAAATAGTATCTGATGAACCTTTTTTCAATCAAAAAATTTTCACAATTTTGGATTCAAATTACCAAACAGTGCGCTTTGTTCATTTACTGCTTATTTGTTTAACAGTTGAGAAATGGTCTTCAAGGTTGGATATGGGTGAAATGATTGGCCTTAGCATAAATGTTTTCAAGCATGACGCCGAAAGGTTTATGCGGATGTTTCAGGTATTTATTGCTTTTATTTTATCATGAAAAATTTAAATCAGAGGTAAAGGAAGTGCGACTGTTACAAATAACTTTTTGTCTGACCAGGTTGTCTTTATTAAAAAATTACAAATCTCTAACATGCAAAATATATACTGAATCATTATTACATATACTTCTTAAAGGTTTATTCACATTTCGGCACAGGAGAAATTGAAAGACGATTATTTGCTCTCTCTAATCAGGCGGCTTATTTGTTATCTGCCGAAAGTTTTGCAGTATCCAAAAGGTCATATGTTACACGTGCGTACCTGCCACTCCGGTATATCAACAGTGTTCATGTAAGTTATATTCTAAGCTAAAAACTGGGAACAATGGTCCCTATTCAACAACTTTAATCTCGAATAGTTCGACCAGAGTTTTCAGGTTGGTCCTGACTCGCAAGTGATGTATCTGCATGCTGAAAAAGATTACAATGTGTGTGAAGATGAACCTGACAAATTTTTGTCAGTTGTGGAAATATGTGCGGCTTGTAAACAGCTTGGTGTCGCCATTTTGGATGCTCTGAATTATGCCTATGAGAATTATGTCTCAAATTTTCAAGTCGATAAAATCAAGTTAAAAGTGTGTCCTGATCCCACTCCACAGCATCTTATCCGTTTCATGTCCAAGGAATTACAGAAGGTGACATTTTTAACTTCTGAAGAGAACGCAGTAATTTATAACATGATTCTGAATTTAATGCTTCCATATAGGAACCGACAGTAGTGAGAGAGTGTTACTTTATAATATATCATGTGCGTATAATTTTCTCTATGGTTTACAGTTTACAGAATGCACCAGTTCTTTATGGATATTACCTTGCACAATGGAGACAAACGAAATTATATAGCATGAATGGCGAGGGTTATCGGCACAGTGGTTTTTTATATCATAAAGAAGTTGGAAATGGTGTTTCGTGGCTGATCAGCTCAGGCAATTTTCAACAGAGCTACTTTCATTTGCAAAATAAAAAACTTTATCAATTTTCCGACTCTACGTGCAAATTCGGTGAACGCGTTATATCTGTGAGGTATTTTTAGAATAACTGGATTTGTATTAAATGTTAGAAATGAAAAAATGCTTTACAAGAGAAGTTTCTTTCTAGAGATTCAGTTACCGATGTGATGGAACTCAAAGGTGATGATCGTTCACCACATATATTCGAAATCGTCCTTAAAAACAGCAGAATTCAGTTTATATGTCAGAGCGCCGCTGACATGCACAAATGGGTGTCGCTAATAACTCTTGCAATCACGTCCACGGTAATTTGTTTTATTGATATATTTCGAGTGGAAATTGATTTTATCCGTATACTTTGATTTGATATGTGCTCGTTTAAAACAATATTTTCGCATCGTTCTACTGAATTAATGATACAAATAAAGCGGAAAAAATTCGAGTTATCAGCCTTAAATATACAATAAAAGTTACTGAGACAATTATCTGATGGATTTCTTCTGTTGTTGTTTGCAGGACATGGATGATGAGCCAGCGGCCTGCGTAGTGTGCTTGTGTGAAAAAAGTATTTTAATAGCGCAAGAGGGGTTAAACTGTGCAGTTGATGGATTCATGAGATTACTGGCACGCATTGACATGGCAAATATGTCCCAGGCTACGGGAGTGTTTGCCGCTGAGCGCTCAGCGTGTGTACTCAAAAATGAGGAAACGTTGGAGTGGTTATTCATGAGATCGCCAGATGAAGTTGATCGTCTGCTTGGACAGCTTAACCAGCTTGGGGTAATTAATTCCTCTCATTAATTTATTCTCTGTTTTCATCAGACTCTAAATATACTGGATATATTTAGGTAAGGGAAATTAATACAGAAGAAGATGGCTCGTCCCGATTGTCAGCAATCCTAAATTCGATGTCACGTCTTAATGATGCTTTCCACTTTGATGATACTCTGTCAGATGACGCATTTGACGCATCGCTCGAACTTTGATAATGTATAATTGTAACATTTTAAACCTATGCAGCTGCACTACTTGTGCTATCAGTGCAGCAAATTGATCCGTGTATTTCCTGACATCAACATTTCGCCATAAATCATATCAGTATGAGCTATGTATAAAGTAATGCAAGGTATACCGGTCAACTTTGACAGAACTATTGTAGACAATTTGCGATGTTTAGAAAAGGCGTGTTGAAACCACATCTAAAAGATATGACCACGTTTTCAGAAGTTAGAAACGCGAAAAGCTGTTGTTGGGTCGTGAGACAATAGTTCCGAAAGTTAGGTGAACGCTCTACAAAAATGAGTTCCTGTTATAATCGAACGCGCTTATATGGGATACAATGTTTGCAGTGACAAGCTGTACCCGTTAACGGATTCCGGTCGACCAGAATTATTCTTGACATCTATATTCTGTTAGGCACGCAATTTGGATTTCCAATTTTATTCAAAACGATTTCCAGACACAGCTATAACTGATTTTCTTTTCACGGTGTGCCGAATACTCGCTGGCTGGGGTCATTATGAAAACGAAGTGGGGAAATGGAAACACAGTTCAAGAGTTCATGACATTTACCACATAAACTCGGATAGCGCATAGCTCCAGGCTTGCCACATTTAACTAACAGTAAAAAAGCTTTCAGAAAAAAAGTGTCCAGAAAATACTGGTGATGAAGTGATCACACATTATGCCTTATCATAACAAGAACAAATCACTGGGTATGAAATGTCAATATTTAAATTTCCTGTTGTTTCCAGAAGAAGGGGGCTTATAGGGGCAAAAAATTCTCCGAATGAAAGATTGGATTAAAAAAGTAACGAACACAGAAGACGTTACGCCACCTCTTAAAATTATAAAATGCAAGGTCTTACGTAGCATACATAGGATTCCGCACTTTTTTTCTTTGATGACTCGAGGCCAGATGGAATGTAGTATTTACATCTGTGATTTGTTTCTGTTTCTTATTTGAAAGAAAATCATACAAATACTGAAATATCTTCACCTATATACAAGATATTTCGAAAAGCCACAAATGAAGAAGCAGTATGCAATAAACAGGAAAGGAGGGATAAGAAGGACAAGACTATTCGTAGGCTCAAGCGCATCGTAATGAAAATGCATTGTGACATTCGCCTCAAAACGTGATCAAACAGCCGGTCAAGTCATGCAACAAGTCAGCAAAATGGATTAGTTGGTTGAGGTGACGCCGACGCTGGAACTGGCATCAATGGTGGCTGCATAGCTGTCTGGACGGGGTTTCCTGTCGGCGGCATGCGACTCTGACTCATCATTTCATTAAGCGATGGTGATGGACGTTGTTGAGCGACAAATGGGTTTATTGGTACCGTTGCGCTAGTACCAGAAAGAAATGGATTGCTGGCTAAAATACGACCTTTGGTTGTCTCATGAGTAGGTGGTGGCTTTCTCATCCCTTTTATTTGCTATATAGCTACAGGACTTAGCACCATATAAAATTGAAAACAAAAATAAAACCTGGTTTTATGCTGTTACTTGTCGTCCCGAGCAGATTGTCCAAATTTACAAGAGATGAGTTTTCACCGAGAAAACTCTCGGGTGTTTTCGTGCTGCTTCTTTGTTTAGAAATATTTTCTTCAGCAATGAAATCTGGACTATGATTAGCAGGAGAAGGCACAGTAGCCCATGGGTCAACAGAGTTTGTCGTTACCCCAGCTGTCGGGGGTGCTAACGTCCACGGGTCATTACTGGTTGTTTGGATTTTTGAATACAGCGATGATCCTAAAAATATAGTTCTTGGTTTATCTGAACAAAAGAAAAACCTAGACAAATATTTTTTCTCAGTGTATATACTGTGTATGTACTATTTATGTATATGCAATATTTTATGCGATCTTTTCTTGCCTTGTATTTCCTCAAAGGTTTATGAATTGAAAAAGAATACTTTCCGTCAGGAAAAAGTACCAACCAACAACTAATGCAGGAGCAGTACCAGAAGCCGGTGCCCAAGGATCAGCAACTGGTCCACCCCATGGATTTGGGGTTGTCTGTTCAACAGGCTGTCCCACTCCCAGCGACAGCAAGTCATCGATCGCACTTTGCGAAAGAGTTGAACTTGGCACTGTGTTTTGATCACCAACATCCATGGAATTCATCCGCTCGATTTCACGGCGACTCTCATTTAATGCCATCTAAATTCCTCTGGATTTAACATCAGTGCCCGTTTTCAGTACACAATAAAGGACATATTTATTCTTGCTCGTTATATAACTAAATGCTCTTTTTCACAATGACAATTTTTTGACATAACTGAAATGTCTAGTACATACTGATATACATTATAGCGCAGAAAATCCTATGAAATGAACATTCATGATCTCCTAAAAATGGAACACTTTATTCGGCATACCTGTAACCCAATGTCGTCCTTTTTCCTCAGTTCCTCTTCCTTCTCACTTTCTTCCCGTGACAGTACAAGTGCAATCTGTAATTGCATTTCTTCTTCACCAGCACTCGCCGGTCGTGCATCTTCCAATTCCGATTCTAAAAAACATCAAACTCATGTCTTGCTAAAACAGTGAGAATCTTATAGCGTGAAAAAAACAAAATATACCAAATCCAGGGCCAGTATCGGTTTTGCGCGTATGTCGTACGGAACCATCTGAAGAAATACCAGAACCAGACATGAACTTCTTCCTAGTCATCATAAACTTTGTTCGTTCATTTTTTAGTCGTTCTTCGTCATACAGTAGGCTGACCATCTGTTTTGCTTTCTCCCGTACATTCATACCCTGATCTCTATTATCCTCAATATGCTGGAAATCTTTTAATGTTTCAATCGAGTAGATATTTTCACGACACTGTTGAGCCACTTTCTCACTGCCACACTAGAATGGATATTAACGTGTTGCAGCAATTCATAAATGTATATTAGAAATAAAAGTATTGGACCGAAACAGAAAATGTGAATCCAAATAAGATTAAAATAAGAATCAAATTTTTGATTACTTACAAGCGATCTTCCAATAAGGCTTTGAATAATTAGTTACAGTATAAGTCAATCTAAGGAAATCTAACCTTTATCAAATAATCCAAAAGAACAAGACTTTTATACACATGCCTCCAGTTCTTCCCATGATCATTTAATCTCTTCCAGAGCATCGACATAATCTCAGTAAACGACAATGGATTATGCGTTAGATCTGCGATTTCGGACATCAGAGCCGTAGAGGGACCCCAAGGATCATTGCTGCAAAACATCATTCTCACAGAAACCAATTCTTTCATGTAACACTACGGCTGGTAAAAATAAAGTGCTAAAAGCGACAAAACAATAAACAACGAAATGCTGAATGCAAAAACCTTATATGAATTTTGTTGCGGTTTTGGACAGATTTACCGGTTTGCTTATTTTGAAGGTATTTAGGAAGACTTCAAGAAAGTACTGCTTGGACGTGATATATTTGGTCGAAAAAAGTTTACTATGGAAACGAGTGGATACAAAATTTTATTTTCCATTTTCGTTTGCGATAGGCAGGTAATGAGATTAATTAGTCAGTGTTAAAAAATGGATGTTTGCACCGTCAGTAATCAAAT